CCGTTCTATACTAAAAACAAGTACGAGTTTAGCGGGTTGCAATCCGCTTACTCCAAGAGTAATTACAACCTTAATTTAAGGCTCATCAACTCTTCTGTTTAAATTCAAAAACAGATTTTTTTATTTTTATTTGCGGCAAAGCCGCCTTATTTTAAATGTATAAATTCTCCTAAATATATATAGAGTAATCAAAATACATGTATAACTACTGACTATTCAGCCCCGTACCGTATTCTTGTTTGGGTGTGGTCACACCATGCCTATCTTATATGACACACACCCCTGTTACCATGGTATGTGTAACCTCGTTACAAAAAACGCTAACACACGCTCTCTGTTCGTGGCATGCTAACCAGGGTTGACTTACAAATAACTCGGATACGATAAGTACAATGTCACGACAATTTTGCGCTTGACAAATCAACACCACGAAGCGTACATTTTATTGGCATATGACTCAGTACGTGGGTGACGTAGTCAGCCGCGTCACATCGAAGCCTTAGCGGTAATTACAATCCAAACACCATGCAACGAGTGACGCGAGATTTTTGTGGTACATGTATCCCGCTTGCCGTTCGCAACTTGGTACTCGACTTCAGACACTTAATAAATCAATTCGTTTTCTTTGCAAAACGAGATTGACGTTATAAAGTTTTACCTCGTGCGGGGAACGCGTACCGGACAACAAGCCGTTTATATGATTTGAGAGAATCAATATGCCTTTTCGAAGCCAGGTTTGTCTTTTTCGCCAAGATTATCTTGTTATAATCTGATTTGCGCTCCAAAGTAGTCCATGTAGCTGTAACTCTGTAATTAAGCGTTGTTCACTTCTCTTCTCTGCCTTTATATCGCTACAAATGACGCCTCCGACCTGAACATTCGGGCTCACCAGTGTCCTTGGTATGCAACTTTGTTCGAGTTTTTATCCTCTCAGCACAAACAATGCATGACTGTCGCTCCCTTTAAGATCTATTACTGGATACGAGGGCTATCGCTATTGTCCGGCGCCAGACGACCGAAGCGTATACAGAAGCCGGATAATATATACGTTGTCACGACCGGCGATACTGTGTCCACACTCGTGTCCTTCACGTTCATGATAAACGCTTCCGACGTGGCACTGATTGCTACTGCCAACTTATTTATAGCCGCCATCACGTTGTGATCCAGGTCAGCGTATAACCCCACGTCGTCGCTCTTTTTCAATGCCGTCTTACCGTTGCTATTGGTGAAAGAGCATCCATCCATTCTTGACAACGTTCATCATCCGAACACTCGTCAACATCTTTGACAAAAAATTCCAATATGTTAATCAGCAGCGCTGGGTCATTGACAAGATGTCGACCGGCTACCCTGTCAGGAAATCCAGCTTCTACCGTTCACTAAGAGAGCGTCTTTTGCGGCAGCAAATGCTGACTCTTCTGAGTTGTCCTTGCTGAATGCAGTTGGGCGCTTCGAGTAGTCCCTCCTTAGATATCCAAATTGCTTGCTCTTGCGACATCGCCGCGTTCCCTTTCGCATTTCGGATATCCATTGACGACATCCTTTCCGGTGCGATACAATACCCATACTCATCAGATGTCATCTGCATCCACACAAACCGATCATTTGCTTATGTGAATGCAGCGCGCTGTCACATTTGACCACAAAAGTGTGCCTTTATTTTGGGTCTCTGTACCTGACGATGCTCAACAGTTCCAGCTAAGGTGACACGTTTGTGCCGCCATAAGAATATCTGAGTACAAGAAGCGCTCATTTGCCGATTTTATAGGATCTTTCTCAGCTTCAATCAGCTTCATTCTCTGTTATGTCGAGAGCGTTCTCTGGGGTAATAATTTGTCCACGATTGGTCAAAGATTTACGCAATCCACCAGCAACTGCTATGTTGCTGGAAGAACAGGTTAATTTTACCACGAAGACGCTCGCCATTTTTTACCGTTAAATGTCTCGACCAGGCGTAGCCTAACGCCTGCACCATCAACTTAATCTGCTCGATGAAGATCAGCGGCTACTGCTGAAATTTTGCTCTAAAGCATATTGTTGTCATCACTGTCGTCAGAGCTGCACATCCGATCTTTGATTTGCTAACCGGTCGTTCTCTCACTAAGATACAGCGGTGGCGGTTGATACGTTTGATGATATGCAGCCCATTACTGGGCGGGATACTGCAACATTGGCTATGCTGACACTCAATCGAAAAGAGACGAACCTCGTGTTTGATGGTTATTATCAAGTCTATCAAGTACAGCTTGCGCATGCGCACCTATGCCGAACTTTGAAGCGCCAATGTAGCGGGGGTGCCTTAGCTCTTATGCTTAGAGGAAGCTTTATTAAGGTCGGTGACCTTCGTTCTATACTTAGAGCCATTACGAGTGTAGCGGATCGCAATCCACATACTCCAAGAGAACTAAAACCTTAACTCAAGGCTAGTCAACTCTTCAAGATGTTAACTGTACTTTTCCATTTTATTTGTGGCAAAGCCGCCTATATCCAAACCTTTGGTTTTCCTATCTTTTTTGTTATAAAAAATGTGAAACTATTGTAATTTGATGTTTAAGTGTAGCCACACCACTTTGTGTCCCCCAGACCATTGTGTGATCACATCATCCTCTGTGACCCGCACCCTTCTTACCAGGAAACGTGAAATCCCACCTCATGCTTTGGCTTGTTACGCATACTCACTCATGCAATGCTTGATGTTACACGCTTTGGCCAAGTCAGGCTTCATGTCCGGGTAGAAAAATCGGCACGCCTCACCGTCCCACAAAGTCAACCGCCTAAGCCTGATCTGATTCTCTTTATCGCAAAACTTAATTAAAATCGTACTTTCAGTGATGTTGACTCGATGCATCCACCCTGCGCGTATCCCGGCTTTTTAGATTAGTTGACATTGACATCTCGGCTCGATCGTTTTCGCTCTCCTGATGGGTCGTTGCGTGTAATATTGGTGAGGTTCCCTCGTCGAATTATCTACAAATATCGTCTAATGCTAAGCCTCCCTCCCCTATCAGGCTTTTTAATTGTTTTAGTTTTGATCATTTTACCGTTTAATGAAATGTCAGCATATCGTGAAAGTTTAAGATCCGTGGCGCATGACGAAAGCTGTCCCTGCTGTTTCATTTTGTCAACTGCAGCATCCTAGTACTTTTTCTGCGGTTTTTATCCACCGCCACTGCCATCATGGACAACTAGCACTTTTCGTGAGTCAATACAAAGCGCTGAAGACGCGCAAGCTCGGAAAGCGAGATGGATCGCGAGTGACACCTTTTCAAAAATTCATCACACCAAAAATGACCTGGTAGAGATTTTTTGTCTGCGTAAGAAGTTGCTGCTCGCTCTCGTTACTGTTCGGCATTGAGATGGGCGGTAAACACTAAAATGATCAAAGTGATCAAGGTCGAAGAGCATATTAACTTGAGCATGCTGACCGCCTGATTCATTTTTGTTAAATGTATGTCTTCAATCACTGTGTAGAATATTGACCGGTCAAGCGTAAGCGAAGAGCATAAGACCTAGGGTCATTAATATTTAATTTTGCTGACATACTTCATAGTTTATTAAGAACATTTTGTTTTCTTGATTCAAAAGTGATATAATAAGTTTATTGATGTTGCCAGTTACTCTTTGGATAACTTGCCAGTTACTCTTTGGGTCGAAAGAAAACCCTTCCAACGTGCAGGGCGACTTTGATCACTTTGATCACTCTGATCACTTTGGTCACTTTGGTCACTTTGATCACTTTGATCACTTTGATCACTTTGATCACTTTGATCACTTTGATCAC